CATACTTGCATGCATACATAAATGAAAAACTTTACGACTAAATGTGAACTCACACTTAACTTCGCAGGAGTGCCCATGCACACAGTACAGAAAGTGGAAATGGTTTAAACAAATAATGTATTATCTGTCTTTTAGAAGTAATTTGTGGAGTACAATCAGGGACGACCAGGTCTCAGACTGCAAGTGTTATTGAAGTGATTCTCCGCTCTATAAATGCTTAGCAAAAGGAAAATCGGCACAGTTTCACCTGGTGGATGGTGTCTCGAGAACTAAGACAGTCTGAGGGTCCTTAATATCATCAATCAACAGAGGATAAGAAGGGATCAACCGCGGTATTTCAGTGCGATAACTCTAAGAATCTATTTCACATAGGACAAATTCACAGGAGCAATTTTCATTGAGGAAATAAATGGAAACCCCGGTTCTCTTCATATAGATAGCTTCAACAAAAATACATTCGGAATAGAGCTCCAGATTTTTTATTATCCTTTACTCATAATTCAAAATATTGTCTGAATTTTTTTCATCGCTTACTAGAGCGGGCTTCAGCAAGCGCAGCAAACTATTCTTAATGTCACTCTTTCCCAAGCAACCCCACTACTTTTATCCTCCCTCTTCTGAGGAGTAGCAGTCTTTTCCTGACATTTCCATGGGTACTGAAAATCTGATGCCTCACGGGGGATACACATTAACAGATCCACTTTCAGAATTGCATTCTCTCATTAATATTAGTTTATTCCTTCTTGGTTCAAACAAATGACATTTTAGTCTTAACTCCGTTTTCAATTTTATCTGCTCCTGAAAGTGGCCACGGATTTGCATTCCTCTTAATTGCGCCTGAAAATGATGGCCAGTGCGAAATAAGGCCATGAATTATTTATTTTTTCGTAACAAAGATAAAGCTAGATCGAAGATATGAAGCCCAAGATGGTGAGGCCTTTTGTGTGTTTGCAGTCTCCTTTCATTGTATAGAGGTTGTCTGACATTGTTTTCGCAACTTGGTCATGTTGGTAGGAAGACTTAGAGGAACGCACCTAGTCCGGAGTCCATTGTCTGTATGATCATTTCCAAAGTTTAATCGTGGTCATGGTACATTCCAAAACGTTTCGCCGGCATCGTCAGTAAGTATCACCATCCAAAGCACCATACAACAACTCTTCAAAGAGACAAGTGAAGCCGATCTTTTGACCAAACGTATGCATAATTATAAAGCAGACTCTGATCAACATTCCCTGCACAAAGATGAGGGGGGGTGATAACGAGAGTTGAGTGTGAAAGTG